AAACTGTTAGAATGTTCTTTTAATGTGAGCGATTTTAGCTATACATTTAGCCATTTTCAATGATGAAATATTTTAACTATTAAATAAGAAATAGTTTGTTGCATGTATGTATTTATATAATGTTTTCATTTTTCAAAACATGGTCAAGATATTGTGTCCATAGTTGATATTATTAAATGTTGGTTTTTTGCTTTTATTAATAAGGCTTCCATTATTTTTATCCCTTTTTTGCATATAAATGATGCTATTATATTTGTGTTGTCAATAAGTAGATTACGAATAGTGTCCAGTAGGTCTCCATGAATATTCAAATGAGATCTAATTGAGCTATTGTCAGAAAGGTGTAGAGTGAGTCTTCATGTCAAACATGCTGTAGTGTGGTCTATATAATTATTTCGGAATTTTGATTGATCAGAAATAAAATTCCTTAATGGGCATCTATATATATATATATATATATATATATATATATAGTTTTTTTCAAAAGTTTTTCCTTTGGTGCAATAGCTTAGGTGTGTTACAGTTATGAGTATATAATGCTAGATCCCTACTTCTTCCAGCTACATTCTTGTTGTCTGAAGATCACAAGAGTGTGAAACTTGAGTAACGACTTGAACTGTCCTTTGTTAAGTGTTGACATTCTGAAGCATTTTTTGATCTGTCTAGGTAATCTGGACATTGAGCACTTTACTGTGTAGGTAGGTATTTGCCTTTTGGTCAGTGACAGCTCATGGCTAATATTAGTGCTGGTGGGGGGGGGGTGATCTTACAATATACCTAAATAAAAATTAGGGGCCTGTCATAATAGATCATTCCATCTTACTTATTATAAAACGCAGATTGTGTGTGTGTGTGTGTGTGTGTGTGTGTGTGTGTGTGTGTGTGTGTGTGTGTGTGTGTGTGTGTGTGTGTGTGTGTGTTTCTATATTGGATCGAATTTCCTACATTTTTCAACCAATTTCAACAAACTTCACAGGACTACGTAAAATTACCTTGCGGTGGTTCTGACAGCGCCAAAAATTGGAAAAACACAATTGTTTTTGCACAAAATTAATTTGAAAACATGATTAAGAGGCATCACGAGAATGAAAGGGGGACAACTCATATCGAGTTATACTTATTATAAAACCCAGGTTGTTTGTGTGTGTGTGTCTGTGTTCGTTTATATATGGGATCGGATTTCCTACATTTTTCAACCGATTTCAACAAAACTTCACTTTTTTTTTGGCAGGTAGTGTTTCTTATTTTCTTGCACACTTTTTTCTTTATTTTTACATTCAGAATGCTTTAAAAATTCAATTTGCAAGACAATTGTTTATAATAAAATTCTATTCAATCGGTAGACTCATAACGATTGAAAACAATGTTTTTGTTTGAGTTTGGGTTTGACCAATTTGTAAAAAAAAACAAAACAAAACAAAACAAAAAAACTAATTAAGATATGCGTGTCCATCAACCTTAAACAATAATCTTTGTCAATTTTATTTTTCAGTCTTTATGATGGTCGATACTTGATCTATCTCTTACTGTTACATCCCCGGGCAACGCCGGGCTCTATTGCTAGTCTTAAATAAATCAACAATGTTTTCCAGCAATTTTTAGCATCAACATGAGATTTTTCTTCTTAAAAGTTGAATAATTTTAACACATTCAACATTATGGATTAAAAATACTGAATTTTATAGTGTTTTTTTTTTTTAGATTTAGCATGAACAAAACAAGTTCACGTATTTGGATGAAAAAAAAACAGTATGACATCAAAACCTGCAAAAATTTTTCAGCCGTTAATAGTCAGTTGTGCTTAGTCTAATTTGTAATGTATATAAATGTACACATAATGAGAAAGGAGGGCCTGGAGAATCTGATACTCACAGGTTGAATAGAGGGAAAGAGAGGCAAGAGAAAGCAATGCATGACATACCTGGCAGGCTTAAGCAAGTGGATGATAGAATGTGGTCTGGGGGGAGGTGACAGAGGGACGAAACTTATTGAGAGCTTCAAGGGATAGGGAGAAAGTGGAGAGCCATGATCGCCTATGTCCTGAAGGGACATGGCATATAAAGGTCGAATAGAAGTAAAGAGAGACAAGGGAAAACAACGTGTAACATACCTGGTGGGCTTAAGCAAGTGGATGACAGAACGTGGTCTGGAGGAAGGTGGCAGAGGGAAAAAACTTATTGAGAGCTACAAGGGATAGGGAGAAAGTGGAGAGCCATGATCGCCTATGTCCTGAAGGGACATGGCACATAAAGGTCGAATAGAAGGAAAGAGAGACAAGGGAAAACAACGTGTAACATACCTGGTGGGCTTAAGCAAGTGGATGACAGAACGTGGTCTGGAGGAAGGTGGCAGAGGGAAGAAACTTATTGAGAGCTTCAAGGGATAGGGAGAAAGTGGAGAGCCATGATCACCTATGTCCTGAAGGGACATGGCACATAAAGGTCGAATAGAAGGAAAGAGAGACAAGGGAAAACAACGCATAACATACCTAGCGGGCTTAAGCAAGTGGATGACAGAACATGGTCTGGGGGGAGGTGGCAGAGGGACAAAACTTATTGAGAGCTACAAGGGATAGGGAGGAAGTGGAGAGCCATGATCACCTAAAAAGGTCATGGCACATAAAAAGAAAGATATAAATGTAGGTAGGAAAAAAATAGCGAGGTTCATAAAGCACTCACTTGGGCCCCCAATCAGGTTCGTCCCCTCACCAAGTCAGAAGGTTCAGGGGTAGTAAGTGCTGGTTCTGATGAGTTCATTTTTTAACTTGTGTTTCTCTCAACTTATGGATGTTATTTTTATTTAAAATTCTCAGATCATGATTAATTATTATCAAATAAACATTTGAGAGTTATGATGAAATGCAACAGAAATGAGATGAAAGAAAAAGGAGTCAAAAATGAATAATAATTACATTTAAGTTTTTAAGAAACAGAATATTAAAATAAAATTGCAGCAGATACATGCTTAAGACATTGTGATTTAAGACAGGAATGTTTTGCAAAACGCTTAACTCATTTTTATAATCATAATAAAATTAATGAAAATCAAAGTAATTCATTTTTTGCAAAGGATTTCACACTCAAACCAAATAATTTTAAATCTTTTATTTTTTGTTTTCCTTGATAGGCTAATTACTTCAATAAAATGGATTCACAAACCATGAAATTAAATTGTTTAATATCAGTTAATAAAAGATTTTATTACCTAAACAAAACTGAGAAATTTAATTCAGAAAGAGAAAAACTTACTTCTCCCCGGGTTTTATCTGTAGACCAATAAATCTTCTTAGCCAACCAATCCATTGCTATGCTGTGAGCAGAGTAATTGTGCTTCTCAAAACTCAATACATTCTTGTATGGCACCATTGACACACGAGTTTGCCGATACTCTATCAGAGATAAAAAAAAATAAAAAAAAGACAAGTATAGGTGGATATCTACAGAAAATATATATTATTATGTTCCTACTTCTTTTATGAGAGCCAACATGATAAAAGATTTATTATTATTATTATTATTATTATTGTTTTTATAGTTGAGTCATAAAGCAACTTTAGATGTGTATGTGAAATAAACATTTAGAGTAAAGATGTGTAAAAAATAAAAATACTTTTGAAATACTAATATATAAAATAAATAATATAGTAATAATATATATATATATATATATATATATATATATATATATATATATATATATATATATATATATATATATATATATATATATATATATATATATATATATATATATATATATATATATATACATATATATATATATATACATATATATATATATATATATATATATATATATATATATATATATATATATATATATATATATATATATATATATATATATATATATATATATATATATATATATATATATATATATATATATATATATATATATATATATATATATATATATATATATATATATACATATATATATATATATATATATATATATACATATATATATATATATATATATATATATATATATATATATATATATATATATATATATATATATATATATATATATATATATATATATATATATATATATATACATATATATATATATATATATATATATATATATATATATATATATATGAAATAAGATTTGAAGCAAAAGTTTGCAAAAAGATCAGAATCTATTTTTTATACACCCTAATATATTAATAACAAAACTTATATGATAATATATTAATTTTAATCTCATTTTAGTAAGAAAAATTAATAAACATTTAACAAGAATAATGAGAGAAAATGAGATGGGAAGGTTAAATTGTTATAGAGAGATAAGAGTAAAACTGTTCTTGATAAAAATGAATAAAACTGTTATGGGGAGAAAATAGTAAAACAGTTATAGAGAGAAAAGTGTAAAAACACATCATAGAGGGGGAAAGAGTAAAACTGTTATAGAAAGAAAAGTGTAAAACTTATTGAGAAAAATGAATAAACTGTAGTAGATAGAAAATAGTAAAACTGATATTAAAAGAAAGAGCAAAACTGCTATAGGAAAAAGTCTGAGATTGTTATTGAGAGAAATGATGAAAACTGCTATCAAAAGGAAAGAGTATATGGGGAAAAAATGCAAAACTATTGAGAGAAAAAAGGAAAACTGTTATTGAGTGAAAAGAGGAAAATAGTTATTGGGAAAAAGTTTAAGACTGTTATTGAGAGAAAAGAAGAAAACTGCTATCAAGAGAAAAGTGTAAAAATTTTATTGGAGAAATAGAGTAAAACTGCTATTGAGAAACAAAAGGAAAACAGTTATTGAGTGAAAAGAAGAAAACTGCTATAGATAAAAAAGAGCTTACCTAAAACTGAAACAAATTCGTGAATAAATTTCTCCTTTTGTCCGTCAGTTTGGATTTGATAAATTTCACCTTTTGATGTTGAGTAAGTAATGATGCATGGTGTGTCCTCTGTTTTAAGAAATAAAAAAGAATAATTTATATTCACATGAAAAGATTTAACAATAAATTATCAAAACAATAACCACAAATTTTAGTAACACTTGCAATAAACTCTGAGCTCTGAAAATCCCTCCCTGAATTTTAATGCATAAAATACATGCGTTATTTACCTAATTCAAACTATTATCCTTATCTTCATTGCCATATTCACATTGTTTCAGCCGTTGTACACTCCAGCCTTTTTCAGGTGATTGGAATTTTGAACCAAACCCTTTATTTCGTCCATCGGGATAGATTGTTTTAGTTCCACATGTCATGCCTCTTCTGGGTGTCTTAGTTATTTCCCTTTAATTCAATTCTCCAAGTTTTTTCGGTTCACCACTGCTGGAACTAGAACAATCTATCCCGGTGAACAAAATAAAGGGTTCAGTTTGAAATTCCAATCACCTGAAGAAGGCAAGAGAGTACAACCGCCAAAACATTGTGAATATGGCAATGAAGATGAGGATAACAGTCTGAATAATGTAAATAATGCAAGTAATCTTAATACTTCATCTCAGAGATATAGACATATACGCATAAAATACAGTGTGCAAATTGGTTGAAAGAAATTGTAAGATAAAAATAACTAAAAACACTTTTGAAATCACCAGGTGTATTATTGACTTGTTATTGCATGACTTTTGATGGTTTGGTAAAACTGATAATCTGGCACAGTTTGGGAACTATGTGTGTCAGAAAATTGGCAGCATTCTTGTATCTATATAAATATGTCAAAGTTTGTTACGTTTGCATATGTTTGTTTATGATAGAAAATCTCAACAACTAGTTTTCTGCATGGACAGCCAAAAATCCTCAAGTAATAAGAAAGGCTATATGAAGTTGACTTTGGAGTTTGTTCAAGTTTACCAGAGATCAACAAATCTTGCAGTATGTTGGTTCTGATCTAATTAGTCAATTTCTGACAAAAATGAACCAAGATACAGAATTTGCATGAAAATTCACAATCCATCCAGTTTTGATATATTTGTTTAATAAATCCTACCAGTGATATCACAGGTTACATCAACAGTCAGTTCAAATTCTAAAAATGTTACATCCTTCTTGCCATTTTATAATAAAATAAAATGCAATGAATTTCTATATGTTTTTTTAGTATTTACTATGTTCCTATATATGTAATCATGAGAGGAGACGGATATGCAATGTGATTGGCCCTGATCTGGCATCTCATTTAAAGTTGCTCTCTCACAGATGTGCCGTTGCTTCCCTCTGTCTTTTCTACAAATACTTTCATGGTAACTGCTCCAATGAGCTACTTTCACTTATTCCCAAACTACATGAATTTAAACGTGCTACTAGGTTGGCATCTCAGTCCTACCCTGTCACTGTTAAAATGGTTAAATGTAGCCATCTCTTCTACTCCAGTAGCTTCATGTCTCACACTTTGTGGAACTCCCTTCTTCTTACTTGCTTCCCTGATAGCTATAATCTCCAAATATTCAAATGCAATGTCAATTGACATCTCCAGATGCTTTGATCTAATTCCCTGTCCTTCTCGTCATCCTTTCCTTTATCACACCTCTTTACTCTTGCTCCTACTCTTTGTAACCCCTTGTATGCTGGTGGCACTCTTGCCTTGCTTGGGGTGAAATGCTTAAAAAAAAATGTATTCATTTAATAAATCCTACTCATGATATCACAGGTTACATTAACATTTAGTTCAAATTATAAAAAGTTTCTTCCTTCTCATCATAATGCCTTTTATGTTAACATAAATTACAATGCCTTTCTACATATGCTTTTATTATTTTCTATGCCCCTTTGTATAGTAATGATTAGAGTAAATGAAAGTTTTAATTTATTTGTTAATAAATCCTACCCAGAATATCAAAGTTACATAAACAGCCAAACTAAAAGTTACTTTCTTCTTGCCAGAATTCATTTTTATAGTAAAATAAATTGCAATGAATTTCTATATATGTTTTTAGTATGTCATAATATATGTATGAATAGGTCAAAAACATGACATTTTCATTTTTATATTTTTTATCAGTTAAAATTAAGCACATTCAAATATTGGGTTGGTGCATAATTATCAGGCGTTTTTAACAATATTTATTACGAAAAAAGAAACATAACAATTCAACAATAACATTTTTAAATGATTATTCCAGTGTGTATGATTATCAACCCTCATTTTTATGACCTGAAAATAAAATAATATTTTTATTAAAAAAAGTAAACAAACCAGCAATTTTTATTAACTTGCCCACAAAAACACCTGATAATTATGCACCAACATAATAAATCAAATAAAATTTCATTGAAATCTAAATTCTTTTGCCTTCCTTAAATCGAAATGAAACTTTGTACAGTAAATATTTACCTTTATGAAAAGTGTGACCCACAAAATTTTCTGTCCAAGGCCCATACCTATTGTTGATATGAGCTCTGATTCTAATGGTGTACTGTGTATCTGGAATCAATTTATCCTTTGTAAAATTGAACCCTGAAACCTGGAAGATTTCCTCTTTCTCTCCAGCTTTTTTGACCATGACTTCATACTTCCATCCTTTCCAGAAACCATTACCTAAAAAACAAAAAAATCAACATCACCATTAAGGAATAAATATGGATATTTTTCTATGCTTAGAATTGTCTGTCACAATGACAAGTTCAGAAAATGGAGGTAGGAAGATTGTATAGCAATGACATGAGAAAAGCTTGCCTATGTTGAAAATCAGCATTTGAGATCATTGAATTTTTATCTAACTTAAACATCAATCATAAGCAGGCATTTGAATGTATCATACTTGATGTCATATAAAGTCCATGGGTCTTATATAAAATCCTCATCCTCACCATTTCCGTAGGGAATATCAAGAAGAAAATTATTGAATGGTATGTTGAATGTTACTGGAGCCTCATTCATGTTTCCAGTAGTGAGATAAAAAGTTTTAGGAAATGGTTCTCTCCTTCATTACATCAAGTTTTTGGTCTGTGGAATTGGTAAGAAAGTTATATAATTAATAATTTTTTACCCTCATCTCATTTCAGATATTTCCATGTTTTTTATACAATAATAATATTAAATCAGCAAAAAACACCAAGTATTGTATTACATTTTTATCAACCTTCTCTTTAGGTTGGCTTGCTAACCTAATTAAAAGAACAAAGGAAAAAAAAACAGCTGTCCTTCTGCTATATATTTAGAGATTTCAGCCTTTTCTTTAGATTGGCTCGCTAACCTAATTAAAAGAATAAAGGAAAAAAACAGCTGTCCTTCTGCTATATATTTAGAGATTTCAGCCTTTTCTTTAGGTTCGGCCGCTAACCTAATTAAAAGAACAAAGGAAAAAAACAGCTGTCCTTCTGCTATATATTTAGAGATTTCAGCCTTTTCTTTAGGTTGGCTCACTAACCTAATTAAAAGAACAAAGGAAAAAACAATAGCTGTCCTTCTCCTATATATATTTAGAGATTTCAGCCTTTTCTTTAGGTTGGCATGCTAACCTAATTAAAAGAACAAAGGAAAAAAAACAGCTGTCCTTTTGCTATATATTTAGAGATTTCAGCCTTTTCTTTAGGTTGGCATGCTAACCTAATTAAAAGAACAAAGGAAAAAAAACAGCTGTCCTTTGCTAAGCTAATTAAAAACAAAGGAAAAAAACAACAGCTGTCCTTCTGCTATATATTTAGATTTCAGCCTTTTCTTTAGGTTGACATGCTAACCTAATTAAAAGAACAAAGGAAAAAAAACAGCTGTCTTTTTGCTATATATTTAGAGATTTCAGCCTTTTCTTTACATAGGCATGCTAACCTAATTAAAAGAACAAAGGAAAAAACAACAGCTGTCCTTCTGCTATATATTTAGAGATTTCAGCCTTTTCTTTAGGTTGGCTCGCTAACCTAATTAAAAGAACAAAGGATAAAAAACAGCTGTCCTTTTGCTATATATTTAGAGATTTCAGCCTATTCTTTAGGTTGGCATGCTAACCTAATTAAAAGAACAAAGGAAAAAACAACAGCTGTCCTTCTGCTATATATTTAAAGATTTCAGCCTTTTCTTTAGGTTGGCTCGCTAACCTAATTAAAAGAACAAAGGAAAAAACAACAGCTGTCCTTCTGCTATATATTTAGAGATTTCAGCCTTTTCTTTACATAGGCATGCTAAGCTAATTAAAAGAACAAAGGAAAAAAACAGCTGTCCTTCTGTTATATATTTAGAGATTTCAGCCTTTTCTTTAGGTTGGCTTGATAACCTAATTAAAAGAACAAAGGAAAACAACAGCTGTCTTTTTGCTATATATTTAGAGATTTCAGCCTTTTCTTTACATAGGCATGCTAACCTAATTAAAAGAACAAAGGGAAAAAAACAGCTGTCCTTCTGCTATATATTTAGAGATTTCAGCCTTTTCTTTAGGTTAGCACAAAATCCAAAGAAGAATTTGCAATATTCTTAGCCCTGACCTGGCATCTCATTTTCAGTCATTTTCCACCATAATTTAGCTTCCATGTGACTTTTCTACAAATATTTTCATGGTTTTTGTTCTGATGAGTTTTCCTCTTAGGTACCTTAGTTTTAAAAATTTAAGCACAGTACTAGATTGGCACTTAGATCTCATCATTTTACAGTTGTAATGGCTAGATGTAACCATAAGTTCTATACTAACATCTTTTCTCTTGCACTTCTCACTTGTGGAACTCCCTTTCAGCTTTTTGCTTTCCAGTCAACATTAAACTCTATACCAGAGTTAGTGATTTTATGTACTACCTAACTCAATGATCAATCAATTGAACTCACAATTGCCATATAACTAGTTCTGCTTAATCAATACTTCAACTCCAGCTAACATATAAAGAAGACCAGAGGATTCAATAGCAAAAAAGTTGTGATAATAACAATCAAGCTGGGAACATTAACATGAGTAAATTGGTGTAATAAACATAATAAAAAATATTCATTAGCATGCAAACATAATCAAAAATATTCATTAGCATACAAACATAATAAACATAATAAAAAATATTCATTAACATGCAAACATAATAAAAAATATTAATTAGCATGCAAACATAATAAAAAATATTCATTAATATGAGTAAATTTCTGTAATAAACATAAAAAATGTTGATATTTCGAAATGATTAAGTCAATCAGTAGTTTAAAAATGTTTGTACACCAGTGGTCCCCAAAGTGGTCAACATCAAACCCTGGGAGTCTGTCAGGGATTACCCAGGGATTCAGTAAAAACCTGATTTGGAATTAGAAGATGTAGACATTGAATTTCACTTACAAGATGATCTCCTTCATATGTAAATTTAAATAAATGTTAAAAAAGTAAAAACCTCAGTGACTATTAGAGTAACGTAAATACTATTGCTCAGTAGTCCAAACTTAGTGCAGCAGTTGAACCATTTTTAATTGCATTCACGCAAGGCTGAAGCTGGTTATAGCCAAGCAAATGCAATTTTAATTAAGCAGAGGAAAAGACTGACCTAGAGGAGTGTAGTGACTTATAACAAATTGTGACCAATTTCCAACTAAATATCAATGACCTTACTCATAAAACACATTTTTCTCATTAAGTATATTAACTAATTCAAACAAAAGGTATACTAATTTATTTTTAATTTGTTTATTATTACCTATATTATTGATTAATGTTTTCTCCTTATTATTATTATTATCATTATTTGAACAAACATGACTTCTATTGGAAGAGAAAGAGAAATTGAAAAATGAATGACAAAGTGCAAATATAAAATGAATCTTATTGTGATACAATAATGTAGAAAAAGATCAAAGGAATTTCTATCCTTATTTTTTTTTTAATATTAGAATTTGCTCAATACAAGGCTCAAGAGCCACTTCTGGTAGAGGGTTACTGAATGAGGTGTGATATGAACATAAGGAGAGGTAGAAGGAAGGGAAGATTATGAGGACAGTTAGTGATTGACTCTTGACTTGAAGAGGGTAAGATTGTAGTGTACAAAAAAATGTCCATTTAGAAGATTGTGTCATACGGTATCATTTCTTGGAAAAAAAAGTATTCTGAATGGAACTTCATCCTTACAAATGGAATACAGAGGAAATGTAGGCAATTTGATGTGGACATAGCATGGCCAGCCATAGCTATGAAGGGCTGAACAAAATTTAGTAGCAATGGACTTTCAAATGTAGCTCAATTTGACAAGCTTATACTATTAACTGGCTTGCACTAATCATATATTAATTCAGTTACAAGCACCATACTGAATTCTGCTGTATTGCATAAATTCCCTTAGTTAATTAAACACTTCAATGTTACTTTAAGAAAATGGTCTGAACTGGTAGAATGTAGGAGTGAAGAACATTTGCTATGGAAATAGTGATTGGCTTGCAACATGGTGCTTATATGGAAAGAGGCTGTAGTGTGGAAAATAAGTCATCCTCTACAAATCCACATAAATGATTTTGAAAACTATCAAGGATGGAAAGTAAGGATTGTACAGCTCCAGCACACACTGTTTTTGGTCTAATCTGCCTTTTTAAAGAAGAAGCATAATAATTATTATCTGGGTGTTCATGAAAGATCAAGGATTCTATTCAGGGGTTAAAATATTTGGGGACCTTTAGTGTATATCTATCTATTTGTTTTTTGATATATAAGATTAGTTTTGTTTTGAAATTGCTGCAGTTGAAATTATTAGATGTAATCATAAGTTCTATGCTAATAGTTCCCTCTTTTGCACTTCTCACTTGTTGAATTCTTTTGGCTTCTTGCTTTCCAGCCATTATTGATGTTCAAATGTAATATTAATCATTATCTTTTGTATTCTTCATTCCTGTTATTTAATAATTCTCTCTCCTTAATAATGTTTTACTTTTTATTTTTCTCATATTCTTTCAAATGCAGTAACCCCTTGTGTCTGAGTGGCTTTATTACCTTGATTAGGGTGAAATGATTAAAAAAAGTTTTATCTGTGTGGCTTAGAAAGTCTTATGATAATGTAGATATTGTTGGAAACATGTCGAATAATATGTTGCAAAAAGAAATGAGACAGTTACATTTTTAATACATGATCATTTATGTTGAAAAAGAAAGCAGGGCATTAGTAAAAAAAAAAAAAAAGAACAAGTGATGAGAAAAAAATCTCAAGAAGTAACTGAGAATTCAGACGGCAAAGAGCAAAATATTTCTTTTCACAAAAAGAGAGCAGGAGACAAGAAAAAATATTTTCGTATCAAGTGGTAAAAATGCCTCCAAGCAGCAGAAAAAAAAAAAAAAAGCAAAAATTTTGCTTCAAAGTGTCCTTCCGTTGTGTACTTGGATGCTGAATTATCTAAATAAATTCAGAAAATTTCCTCTGGCTGTGCAAGCACTAAGCGTAAGAAACAAGAGTTCTCTTATCTTTTTCATGCAGACCTTGGAAACTAAATGTGTGCAGTGTGTTCAAACTTTACTTTGATCTCAGAAAATCAATTAACTGACCAGGGGAAAAAAACATACTTTCTGATTTTGTAATTTATATTTCATTTCTGTAAAAAATGTTGTCACCATGAATTTTATTT